GCTGAACTTCCTGAGAGAACAGAGCAGCCGCGTCCTCCCGCAGGGCCCCCCAACCCCCGCCAAGGCCTCGGGCTCCTCGGCAGCCTTGCCAGGGAGACCCGGGGGCCCGCCGCGGGGCGGCCGCGGGGCGCGCAGCCAGCTCTTCCCTCCGACCGAGCCTTCGAGCCCCACCGCCGCTGAGGCCCCTTCGGCCCGCCGTGGGGGCAGGAGGCGGGGCCCGGGGCCGGCCCGTGAGCGAGGAGGCCGCGGCCCCGGGGCCCTGGAGGAGGGGGTCAGCGGGGAGAGCCTGCCCTGGGCCGGGGGCCGGAGGCCCAAGAGCTCTGGCAGCCCCGGCAGCCCCAGCCTCCCGCGCTCTGATCCGCCAAACCTCAGCAACCTGGAGGAATTCCCTCCCGTAGGCTCGGTTCCCCCCGACTCTGCAGGGTGAGAATCAGCCCTTATCCGGGAGATGGGTGGCACGAAGGCTCTACTAGGGGAGTTAATAAACTAAGGCTGGGTGCTCTGTAGTAAAGCGTGGTAATGGCTAGAAGGTTGGGGATGGGATAACTACAGTGGTGAGGGGTATTTTGCAGGGGGTCCAGGCTGTTGTGGTGGAGGTGGTGGTGGAGGGGGAGATGCTTGAAGAAAGGAATATCAGAAAAACCTGTGGCTACTCCTCAGCAGGACCAAGCCTTCACGGAGGATCAACCCAACTCCGGTGAGCGAAGAGCGGGCACTTTCCCAGGCCAAGACGTGCCTCTTCAGTACCCTGGAGTTTCTTTTCTTATCTAGAAAACCTGGTACCAAACCTCTTCTTGGAGCTTTTCTTCGTCCTTCAGCTCCTTACCGCCCGGAGGATGGTGGCTGCCAAGGACAGTGACCTTGAACCAAATCCAGGAGCCATAGGTTGGTGAACAAGCCTCTTTTTGAGAAATGGGGTCTGGAAATGAAATCATTCTTAGCCAACAACTTGGTACTGTCCTTCTAGATTCCCTGGAAAGCCCTCTGTTCCAGAGTGTCCATGATTGTGTCTTCTTTGCAGTGCAGGTTTTGGAGCATCAATTTCAGTGAGTTTCCCCAGCAGAGTCATTTGAGCCTTATTCCCATTGTCCACTTGGTTCTCTTGTTATTTGGGGTACATGCTTGTGCTTAACACAGGTGTAGTGTGACCCTGGACCTTTTCCTACACGTAACCGTCAATTTTGTGTCAAGGCTATGAATTTAGCCCTTGAAAGAATCAAACTGCCCCCGGTGGTCTTGGTAGCTGACCTTTGGGTTTATCTAATGTTTCTGCCCGGCTCTCTTGTTCGCTGCTCCATTAGGTCTCTCTCATTTCCTTCCCCTTTGCCTTCATCATCTTTAATCCTTTGCCCATGACTTTTCTTCATGTACCTGCTCCATGCTCCAGGTAACACGCTGTGTGGTGTGCAGGTGCCAGCTTCCTATTTTCAGTCTGTCCCATTCTTGGTCATTTGTGCTCTTGTCCCTGTAGCGTTCTTTCCCACCTGGACAAAGGGACCTTGAAGCTGTTGGCTGAGAATGAACGGCTACTGTGCTTCTCACCAGTTCTGCAAGGCCACCTGCGAGCTGCCTACGAGGGCAGTGTTGCCAAGGTAGTGACCCCATCTTAGATATCTACTAGCCTGGACCTGACCCTTTCTGGTCTCATAACTCAGGCAGCCCAGCTCACATCACTGTAGTGTCATTTGCACTGGAATGGGGATGAAGTTTTCTGAGCATGAACTCTGCCAGCTTCAGTCCCTAATTGTCACTGCCATGTTTTAGGTCTCTCTGGCGATGCCACCTTCTGCACAAGCTGTCTCCTTTCAGCCAGAAACTGACAATCGTGCCAACTTCTCCAGTGATCGAGCCTTTCATACTTTTAAAAAACAGAGGTGATAAGAAAAGGGAACTTTGGGGGAAGGGGATGAAGCAGGATTTTCTCTGGGATAGGCAGTCTGTGTCATTTTCATAGAAACTAGGAGTTTGACACTAACAGGTGGTAGTTTAGCACTACCAGGCCCTTCCTGGCAAACATCATAAGGGCCACTTAGCCTCATTCTGTTCATGCCCGTGGACTTGAACCTCTGACCTTAGCAGCCTTCTCGCAGGTGTATGACTCTAGTCACTGGGTTCTCAGACGAGAGTGCCAGATCAACTTTAACTGCCCACAGAAGTGTGTGAAGCATGTGGTGTACTGCTACCGGGTCTGTAGCATTATCACATAGAGAACCCTGGAGAGGATAAGGAACGGGGCTGTGGATAGTGCTGTCCTCAGTTCTTCTGAGCTAGGGAAGGCACTCCTGAGAATGAGTTAGGCCAGCTGTGCTTCAGTTGATCCGACATTCTTATGTGTCTGTCAGGGATGTGTTTTATGAGGTGCTTCGAGAGTGGGAAGATCGCCATGAAGAGCCTGGCTGGGATTTTGAGAAGGGCTTGGGCAGCAGGATCAGGTACGTGCTCATACACTGGTCACTTTGTCTTTCTTGCTTCCAGCAGTGAGCAGCTTAGTGGTGCTTGGGTAGCTGATTGGAGGAAGGCTTTGTCCTTCCAGGGCAAAGCTGTTTTCTTCTATCCTCCTTTATCTCTTCAGTTACTGCCACCTCTGCCTCTACTCAAAAGCGATTTGTCGGGCTTCCCTGGTGGCGCAGTGGTTGAGAGTCCGCCTGCCGATGCAGGGGACACGGGTTCGTGCCCCTGTCTGGGAAGATCCCACATGCCGCGGAGCAGCTGGGCCCGTGAGCCATGGCTGCTGAGCCTGCGCGTCCGGAGCCTGTGCTCTGCAACTGGAGAGGCCACAACAGTGAGAGGCCCGAGTACCACACACACACACACAAAAAAGCGATTTGTCTCTCCAGCTCCTTCCACTCAGAAATCACTCATACTTGCTCTGTGATTGCAAATGCTTGAAAAAGTGGAATGCTCTCATTTCAGGTTGCTTGAGTTTTGGCCCAAGTTTTAGACCCTTTCCGACCTCCATTTTCTCCATCATCTCATTTGACAATACAGATAACTTTGCATAGCTAGATAACTAGGATACAGAAAGAATATTCTCTTGTCCACGTTGGTCATGAAGCTCACTGGCATTCGGTGTAGACTGAAGATGAGAGGGGTGGTATTATTTCATATTTGGTTAAGTGTATCTCTAGCTTTGAGGGGTCTTGGGGCTGAGGAGAGTGTCCCTTTTCCCATATCCTTGTGCCAGCCAGCTCTGGCAGGGGTCTGCTCAAGCCCCTGGTAAAGGGCTGAAAGGCCCAAGGGTTGGCTTGTTCTCTCAGATCTTTCTCTCCCTCTTCCTCCTTCCATCACACTCCATCCCTGCCTCTTATTCCTCAGAGCCATGATGAGTCAACTCTCTGCAGCCTGCAGCCACAGCCATTTTGTTCGACTTTTCCAAAAACAACTTCTCCAGGTAATAGCCCTAGCGGGAGACTGATTAATCTACAGTGGACAGTATGTATTATAGGCAGCCAAGTAATGGCTGGCACCTTGGGATAGGGCAGGCAAGCAGGCAGGTCCTTGGCTGGAGACTGAACAAGAGTTCTGTTCTTTGGATGGTGGTTGAAACTAAGGAAGCCAGCTCGAGGAGGCGGAGCACTCTCTCCCATGCCCGGCACCTCCTGCCTCCCCGGGCCTCCTCAGACACCCGGCTCTCCTGGCCTTCCTTCAGCACCTCGCTACTTTCTTGCCCTTGATTAGTGCTGTGGTAGAAAGAGCACAGGGTTAGGACTCAGGTCTGGTTTCAAATCCTAGCTCTTGTGACCCTAGGCAGATGTTGAATCTTACAGGTTCCGTTTCTTCACCTATAAAAATAAGAATATAATCCAGACCTCAAAAAACATATCTATGGCACATGATACAGGGTTCATCGCTTCCTCCTCATTTTGTTCAGTCCTTCTTTCCAGAAAAACTCACTGGTTTTTTGATTTCTCTCTTCCTCCCCCTGCCCCAGATGTGTCAGAGTCCTGGTGGTGCTGGGGGCACCGTTTTGGGCGAGGCTCCAGATGTGTTAAATATGCTTGGAGCTGACAAGCTGGGGCGGTTGCGGCGCCTGCAGGAACGGCTTGTGGCCCCTCAGAGCAGTGGGGGGCCCTGCCCACCCCCCACCTTCCCAGGCTGTCAGGGCTTCTTCAGGGACTTCATCTTGAGTGCCAGCAGGTAAAGGCCTCCTGTCTTGCAGAGAGTGGGGGCAGAGGCCAGAAGAGGTTTGTGTTCACAGAAGGGCAGCGTTTTCTCTCCTTTGTCTGGAATATAACAGGGTGGGACTGGGTGTTGCCTGGGCTCCTTCTAACTCACACTTCCTGCCTCCATTTCCCTCCTCATTCTTTCACCCATAACCTCATTGGCCTCCTCTGTCTACCCTGCTGAGCCTTTCTATCTGGAGCACCTCTTCTCTATTCTGGTCCTTCCTACACTTCTTCCAGTACCTTTATTTCCCCCCCCTCCCCTTCATAGCTTCCAGTTTAATCAGCATCTCATGGATAGCCTGAGTTTGAAGATCCGGGAGCTCAACAGCCTTGCCCTGCCTCAGCCTGAGCCCAGTGATGAAGACGGGGAATCAGACGTGGACTGGCAGGTTAGAAAGCAGAGGGAGATGATGGGGTTCTGACCTAGGGGGGAAAGGGTATTTTCAAGAAGAAATCGGTAACAGATCTGTTTTTTTTTTTTTTTTAAGATTTTTTTTTGATGTGGGCCATTTCTGAAGTCTATATTGAATTTGTTACAATATTGCTTGTGTTTTATGTTTTGGTTTTTTGGCTGTGAGACATGCGGGATCTTAGCTCCCCAACCAGGGATCGAACCTGCACCCCCTGCATTGAAAGGCGAAGTCTCAACCACTGGACCACCGGAGAAGTCCCACAGATTTGGTTTTGTTCTAGAAGCCTTATGCTTGGGACCTTTTCCTTCTTGATGCCCTGCAGGGTGAACGGAGGCAGTTTGCTGTGGTGCTGCTCAGCCTGAGGCTTCTGGCTAAATTCCTGGGCTTTGTGGCTTTCCTGCCATACCGGGGGCCCGAACCACCCCCGACCCGTGAGCTCCAGGACACCATTCTGGCCCTGAGGAGCCAGGTGATTGGGGGCTCCGGTAAGAAGGGAGCTGGGAGGAGCTTCAAGGCAATGGCGTTAGAAGGCTTCCCCCAGCCCCTGGGACTGACCCACCCACTGACTGACACTGGCCCTGCCAGGTGCCCCCGGTCCTGGATGTGCGGGCTCTGCTGCAGCAGGGGCTGCGGGCCCGCCGAGCAGTGCTCACGGTGCCCTGGCTGGTGGAGTTCCTTTCCCTGGCTGACCACATCGTCCCCATGCTGGACTATTACCGCAGCGTCTTCACTGTCCTGCTGCACCTGCATCGGTGAGTAGAGAGAGAGCAGGCTTGAGAAAAGGGTGCGGGGAGAACATTGCTGAGGCTGCCGTTTATGAAGAGGGTCAAACAGCCTGTGCTTCCTGTGTGGTACCGTAGCCGTAACTGATCCTCAGGGGAGAGGCCAGGCCTTGATCCACAAGGAAAGACAGTGGGCAGTTATTGAATATTCGCACTTTGATTGGCCCTTTTCTATTCCTACTGTGGCCCAGCTCAGAAAGGAGTACAGATCTGGGTGGGGTGATGAGACCTGGTTTCTTGTACAACAGCAGTCCCTTTTAGGTCTGTTTTTGAGAAGTACCTCCCCAGTGATAGCTTTCTGTTACTGCATTCCATTTCTCTCTTTGCACAGACTCCATTCACACCCTCATTTACATTTTAGGAGCTTGGTCTTGTCAAAGGAGAGTGAAGGGGAGATGTGTTTCCTGAACAAGCTGCTGCTGCTGGCTGTCCTGGGCTGGCTTTTCCAGGTTGGTGGAGTGAGGGTCCAGGTTGGAGAACGGGGTGACTACTGTGGCTGAAGACAGGGAAAGGGAGGATGTATGAGTCTGAACAAGGGCGGGGCCAGAAGGTGAAGGTTCAGAGGAGGGGTAGGGATTGCCATAGTTTCAGAGGAAGGTGGCTTTGAACCTGGTGTCTAAACCCTGGAACCATGAGGTAGAAGGTGTGACGAATCTCTGAAGTGCTGACTTGCACTGCCCTAATCTCTTGCCAGATTCCTACAGTCCCTGAGGACCTGTTCTTTCTGGAAGAGGGTCAGTTGGATGCCTTTGAGGTGGACACTGTAGCTTCAGAGCATGGCTTGGTGAGTGTTGGGGTCAAGCCAGAGCCATGGGAAGCACAAGAGTAAAGGAGGCAGGCTGCCTGGTAGGGCCCAGCAGGAGACAAGCCAGAATAGAGACTGAAGTCTTTTATATAAGACTTTTATGTTTCTGGCACACTGGGGAGGAAGGGAAGTCTGCCTTCCCAACACTGGCCTGTTCTCTCCCCCAGGACAGCATGCCTGTGGTGGACCAGCACCTGCTCTACACTTGCTGCCCCTATATTGGTGAGGATACTGGTCTCCCCTCAGAGGGTCTTTGGTCCTTGGCCTGTCCCTTCATGAGAACCCAAAAGGCACCCTGTGGGCCCAGCGCCCCAATACATTGTTCTGTTCTTAGGCGCTCCCTGGTGCCTCAGTCTTTCTATTCCATAAATGCTTAAAAGTCAAGATGCTGGGGAGGGTGGGACGGTTCTGGAACTTAAACACTTGGGCTTCTCTGATGCAGGAGAGCTCCGCAAACTGCTCGCCTCCTGGGTATCAGGAAGCAGTGGACGGAGTGGGGGCTTCGTCAGGAAAATCACCCCCACCACCACCACCGGCCTGGGAGCCCAGCCTCCCCGGACCACCCAAGGGCTGCAGGTAGGGGGCAGGGTGGAGGCGGGGGTGGGGGGGTGGGGGGGCGGTGCAGTGGAGAAGGGAAAGCGGGCCCTTCACTGCCCTGCCCCCTCCTCCCAACAGGCACAGCTGGCTCAAGCCTTTTTCCACAACCAGCCGCCCTCCCTGCGCAGGACCGTGGAGTTCGTGGCAGAGAGAATCGGCTCGAACTGTGTCAAGCATATCAAGTGAGGATGAGTTGGGATTGGGAATGGAGGTGTTGAGGGTCCCCAGTCTCATTTCCTTACAGTTTTCCCCTTTATAACACCTTGTTGCCAAACTGAGGAAAGTCAGCTGAGGGGCGGCGGGGGAGCGGGTGATAGAGGACAAGGGCCAGGTGGGATGGGGGGAGGCTAAAATTGCTGACGTTCTTCCAAGTTAGTTCTGACCAGGTTTCCTTGAAGTTGCAGCCCCTTTCCCATTCACCCTTTCCAACTACCTCAAAACCTTGCTGTTCCTACTGCAGGGCCACGCTGGTGGCAGATCTGGTGCGCCAGGCAGAGTCGCTTCTTCAAGAGCAGCTGGTGACGCAGGGACAGGAAGGGGGAGATCCAGCCCAACTGTTGGAGATCTTGTGTTCCCGGCTGTGCCCTCACGGGGCCCAGGCATTGACCCAGGGGAGGGAGTAAGATGCCAGTCTGTTTGAATTCTCTCATCTCCACTCTCCTCTTAGTTTTACTTTCCTGTCCGTTTTTCTTCTTTTATACTCATCCTTTGTTGGTCCTCTCCCCACCCTGCTTTTTTTGTGTTTTTGCCTTGCGCTGTAGGCTCTTATCTTGGTTTTTAGAGGTTTTAGGGCCCAGAGTCCAGAGCTGAATTGGAAGGGCATCTGGGGTGGGGCCGGAGGGCTGAGGGTGCCTTCCGCTGAAGCAGAGCCCTTCCAGCTCGGGCGACTGCTGCACTCGGGGCGTTTCCTTCTGTGGGCCAGGTTGACGCATCTAGACATCACTGACCTCTGTCTCCTTTCAGGTTCTGCCAAAAGAAGAGCCCTGGTGCCGTGAGGGCATTGCTCCCTGAGGAGACCCCGGCAGCTGTACGTAGGAAGGAGTCCTGGGGTTAGCAGGCTGGGCGGTTAGTGGTGGGAGAGGAGTGCTGTGGGGTCATATGTGTGAGTCTTCTGGTGGCAGGTGGGCCACTCCTGGACTTGGGCATTCGTCATTGCCCTAACTTGCCCCTGACTCAGAACTTCTGTGTCACAGGTTCTGAGCAGTGCAGAGAACATTGCTGTGGGGCTTGCAACAGAGAAAGCCTGTGCTTGGTTGTCAGCCAATGTCACAGGTAAGGTCCAGGGAGGGGGAGTAGCTGACCAAGTTTTTCAAAAGTGGACTGGCAGGAAGTTGGAGGCCATGTGGGGGAGATAGGACTCAGAGCCAGCTGGTAACAGTGAAGGGCATGGGTTGGCATGGTGAGCCTGTGCAGGGCTGCTTTGATGACCCCTTTTCTGTCCTCCCTCTGACTTGCAGCGCTGATCAGAAGGGAGGTGAAAGCGGCTGTGAGTCGCATGCTTCGAGCCCAGGGTCCTGAGCCAGCTGCCCGGGGGGAGCGGAGGGGCTGCTCCCGTGCCTGTGAGCACCATGCTCCCCTCCCCTCCCACCTCATCTCCGAGATAAAAGTACACAGCTCCCTACTCCCTTCGGCTCCCCTCCTCCCTCTCCCTGCTCTTTTCCTAGTCTCCCTCCTCTCTCCCTCAACTCTAGTATTTGTTTGGCAGCTTCCTGTGTTGTCCAGCTAGTTCCCATTTTGTTACTGAATGGGATTAGGTAGGGCAGAACTGAATTGAATGGTTTTCATAACTGCTGTTCTCTGACTTCTGTACTTGAATCACCCAAAAGGGTGAAAGGGAAAGGGGTAGATGTGAAAATTGTTGACTGAGTACACGTTACACGGATGATGATGGGAGTGGGATAGGGAATGGCTGTCCAGTGCAGTAGGAAGTCTCTAAGGAACAGTCATCGCAGTATTGGGATATGGTTTCAGAAGTGTTCTCTTATGTGGGGGGTGATGCTTGTTTAGTTACAGGCAATAAGAAGACTCTATCAATGCGCTTAATTTGATTAAAAAAATTTTTTTGATACTGTCTAGAGCAGGAGTCAGCTGACAAGCTGTGGGCCAAATCCAGCCTGCGGCTTGTTTTCGTAAATAAAGTTTTATTGGAACACAGCCATGCTTGTTCATTTACGAATTGTTGGGCTGCTTTTGTCCTCCACCAGCAGAATTGAGTGATTGGGGCAGAGTCCTAAACTAGTGACCCAGATCTGGGGTAGTAGTGTGAGAATAAAGATTTGGAATAGGGACTATAAAGGAATGACTAAAGGGCTTCCCTAGTGGCACAGTGGTTGAGAGTCCGCCTGCCGATGCAGAGGACACGGGTTCACGCCCCGGTCCGGGAAGATCCCACATGCCATGGAGCGGCTGGGCCCGTGAGTCATGGCCGCTGAGCCTGCACGTCCGGAGCCTGTGCTCCACAACAGGAGAGGCCACAACAGTGAGAGGCCCGCGTACCGAAAAAAAAAAAAAGACTAAAATTAGAAGAGTAAGAGGGAAAAGAAAACTCTCAGCAGCCATTAGCTACTGGTTTTCAACATGCAGAGGATTTCTGTACTGAAACCTCGACTCTCCTGAGAAGATGAACAGAGAATCATGAGGGACAGAAAATAGTACGACATGTACACGACAGGACAGTTCCCCTGAATGCTTTCAGAATAAGATACTGTCTGGGAATTGGCTAGGTATGACTGTCCCAAGATGAGTGCCGTCTCTTGAGCTCTCTGGCAGCGCGTTGTCCCTTGGCTTACCTGCTCCATCTGTTCCTTTGTTGTCCACTTGGTTGCTTCTCCCAGCTGTGCTGTCCTGCCCAAGCCCCAAGTCTAAGGGCACCTTTGCCCATTACTTCACCCCAGGGCCCTGTCTTCCTTTTCCTTCTGCCTCTTTCCACTGGCTGATCCCCACCCCAAGCCACATTCTGTGTGGCCTCCTTGGCCCTGGCCTGCCATGAAGCCTTACTCTGCTTCTGCCCCTCTCTGCAGGACGTGCTCTCTTTGGCCGTGGGGCCCCGGGACTCTGAGGAGGGAGTTTCCCCAGAGCATCTGGAGCAGCTTCTAGGCCAGCTGGGCCAGATGCTGCGGTGCCGCCAGGTGAGACACGGCAAGATGCTCTTCTTACGTATCCTTGTCCAGTGCCTAATAATCAGAGCTGCATTGGCTTGGGGCTGCTGCTCTAAGGATGGTGCTAATGTCCAAGGTCTCCCCATTTTTCCCCCAGTTCCTGTGCCCACCTGCTGAGCAGCATCTGGCGAAGTGCTCTGTGGAGTTAGCATCCCTCGTTGGTATGGCTCCTTCTTATCACATCACTCTCTTGCCGGATCTCCCAGTTCTCAGGGTGGGGTACAAGCAAGATTAGAAAACAGCTTTTTTCTACTCTGTGTCCTCCCAGGGCCACGTGACCCTGCCTCCATTTCTTAGAGCTTGGCATTCCTCTCTCCCCATAGTTGCAGATCAAATTCCTGTCCTAGGGCCCCCGGCACAGCAGCAGCTGGAGAGAGGGCAGGCTCGAAGGCTCCTGCTCATGCTGGTTTCCCTGTGGAAGGAGGACTTTCAAGTGCCGGTTCCGCTGCAGCTGCTGCTGAGGCCAAGAAACGTGGGGCTTCTGGCAGCCACTCGGCCGAGGGAGGTGAGCCAAGAGAGGTGGGGGGAGGGGGGCAGGTGGGCTTCTGAGAAGCCTCTGCAGTCGTGTTACTCCTAACCACCCCCACCCCAGGTGTTGTTAGCTGGTTTAGTCCCCCTTTGCTGAGGCTGTGCTTATCTTCTCTTCCGTGCTCAGACTCCCTTAGTCTTGTCTCGTCTCATCTCCCCCTCCTCCCTCAGCAGCTCTGCCCTTTGTATCAGAGTCACTGTGCAGTCCTCCTAGCCACCCTGACCTCTTCCTCTGTGTGTGTTGCAGTGGGACCTGCTGCTGTTCTTGCTCCGGGAGCTGGTGGAGAAAGGTCTGATGGGACGGATGGAGATAGAGGCCTGCCTAGGCAGCCTCCATGAGGCCCAGTGGCCAAGGGTAAGGATTCCTCGTCTCCTTTTACCTGGAGAGAGAACAGGTGTCATATGTCCCTTTTATCCTGAAAGGGGCCAAGTGATGGGGCCTGGCATTCTTAGGATCTTCCCAAAGCTCAGTGGATTTTGTCAGATTTCTTGAGGACCACCCTGAAATGAAGTGGCTGCTTTGGGGGGTCTCTTTCACATTTAAGTATCTATTGTATGAAGGACTGTGTCCATGGAGGAAGGGAAGATGGAAGGGGCAGATAGATAGTGTATGGCATAGTGAGTGTGGGGTTTGTGGGTTTTTTTTTTTTTTTTTTTTGGCCACCGCGGGCCTCTCACTGCTGTGGCCTCTCCCGTTTCGGAGCACAGGCTCTGCACGCACAGGCTCAGCGGCCATGGCTCACGGGCACAGCCGCTCCGCGGCATGTGGGATCCTCCTGGACCGGGGCACGAAC